ATCGACAGTGTCAAAGGTCATGCGTCCCTTTCAGCCCTTGCTCAACAAAAAGCAAAGAAAAAAAATAAAACAAAAAAAGAGATTCACAAAGTAGAAGAAAAGTTTTCGTAAATTCTGCGAAGTGAATAAACACATTTTTGTTAAATTCCACGTGGACGAAGTCGCGGGTAACAGCTATTTAACATAAAATAAATGCATCAGAAAGTAATGTTAACGTATTACATATCCAGATAAAAATTATTTACACTATTTTTAGCGTTTATTACAGAAAATTTGTAACAATGTGTTACTTTTGCTGAGCAGGTAGGTGTTTTCAAAAATCGACCCACAAGAAAGTTACGGGGCGTCATAAATAATAATAACAATAATAAAAAAATCAGCAATTATATCTAAAGACTTAAAATTTAGCAACCATGTTTTTTTTTTTGTTCAGCTGAGTTATGTAAAAAGCTTTTTTTGCTTGATTTATACAATTCACGTAAAATTAACTCATTAAAAACTTCTTTATTCTTCAGTCTGTATTTTTTAATTTTTAAATTCACCCATGCGAAGAACGGGTATATAAGCTAGTAAGGCAATAAATATTTCCAATGGTCTCTCTCATAAGCTTTCATTAACAAAATACAAAGGTTGATAGTACAAGGCGAACAACATTTAAAATGCAGTCTGGGGTCACACTTCAATCAGACTTTATATGAAAAACAATAAAGTTAAATGTCACATTAAAACTTCCAGCAGAAAGGGAAAAAATTAACATTAGAGAAATAGGGAGCTGCACAATTTTCATAACGGGTTACAAAAATTGTTTAAGTTGCTCAAATCAGCAATTCTCGATCAACCTTCTGAAAAATACTGCATAAAAGTTTGCTCTAGTTTTGTTATATAACTTTATTGAATGTATCAAAAAGAGGTGAATGCTTCTATTTTGATTTTGGATTTACTGAAACACGCGATGCATTTTTGATACATAAAACCATATTCGCTACAAACAGAAATAACTCAAAATATAACTGCCTTCGAAGTAAAATAACAAGCGTACAAACAGAAATAGAAATCAGTGCTAAGTAAACACAAAATGACCCAATAAAAAATTTTTACTGCAGTTCTAGATCTAATAAATCACCAAAATCACATGCCGCGAGCAATCATTCTTTGCGACAGAAAAACACATTTTATTCCATTAGTATAAATATTTTGAAGCGTTTAAATGGCTATGTATATAGAAAGAAAAACATACTAATACCTGGAAATCCGGAAAACAATCAGCAACTACATCGCGTGATTGTTTTTTAGCTATCACGTGGGCAGAAAATTTAAAACACTAATAATAAATATTTAAAAAATTTCTGTCGTGACTTAAGTCGTAGGGTTGGCATGAAAAATGCACCAAAAGAATGCGTGATTTCATTGATTGATTGATGAGTGATTTGTGTGGGACGTCGCTTCTTCTAATCCTTCACCTTTGATATTTGCAATAAATAATGTTTTTGTTTAATAAAGATTCTAGAGAGAGAAACGTGTTTTCGTTCTTCCATATTTCTTCTTGAATGTTCCTGTAAAGTTATAAATTCAAGTAAGTCTTTTTGCAGGGTATTATTTATGCCTGTCACGCATTGTATTTGTGAATTTAGTGCTATCTATCAATCTAAAAATATTAAAATTAAAGTGATTATTTTTGCGGTTTATGTTCATGGTGAAAGTTTGCACGCCAAACTTTTATTTTTTTACACAATACATGACTCGAAAACCTGTATAAGATTAAGTAAAGAACAGTATTTATTACGAAAAAACGAGTGAAAATAATGAAATTCATCTATAAAAGTTTTTAGATGTTTGTGTCCATTTTACATTTATATGTGTGTTTAACATTTAGGCAAATTTAAGACTTTCGGTACACGCGACACTTTTTTTTCTTTTTGGCATTTGAGATATGAGATATAATTTGTATTGTTTTCTGGTTTATCTATTAAATTGTGCGTTGAAAAAAATACCCTGTGAAGAATAATTTTTTTTTATAGATTTTCAATAAAACAAAAACAAAAATGGGAAAATTGGAAAAAAATATTACAAAAATGGGGCTCATTCTATACAGAAAAAAATATCTGAGCAACTTTTTAATTCTTCAGCATTTATCTCTCACATTTTTATTTATTTTTAGAACGACCTAAAATTATTTACTAAAGAATTTATCAAACATCATTCGAGGTGTAACTAGGGCCACTTTTCTGCTCAGGCACGCTAGGCATGTGCCTAAGGTGCACAGATTTGGGGGCGCAAAATATTGGAGGGTGAAAAAAGAGGGGGAAAATTAAAATTACACAGCGAACGTACCACCCACCGCCTAGCAAATCGTAAGAGAAGCATTTCTGCCATCAAAAAAGACTGAAATGATACCTACTATGGAAAATGAAAAACTTAACAGTTTAATGTTGCTATGCGCTCAAAATGATATTGCAATGAAAATTGATTGCAAAGAAGTTATGAATGATTTTCTTGAAAAAAATCATTCATTTTTCGAAGAAAATCTTCGTTATAAAAGTACAATGACATCAATTCAACAAAGAATAAGGATGTCAAAAAAGTAAAAGATAATGGAGCGATAAGTGATGAAAAAGATGCTAATTAACAAATTGAAAACAGTTCATACAATAAAGTATACTCTAAATAGTAATTGTGAACGATTTCATTAATTTACTGAATTAATTTACAAAAGGGGAGGGGGCGTTTCCTGAAGTCATAAAATAAAAAAATGAACAAAAGGGGTTTAACCGTACCGCTATTCTTTCCATACGATTGTCACTTCATAATACGACTGGTTCATAGGTGGTGGATAATGGAAAGACTATGCAAACAGCAAAAACAAAGAAAGGGAAAAGAGTAAGAGAGTTTCTGGAAAATCCTTCCTTAAACAAAACAGGAAAAGTAAGAACTGAAAGAGGAAGGGGGGTTCTTTGGAAATAGGGGGGTAGTTATTGAAGTGCCTAGGGCATCGGGGAGCTTAAAAACGACGCTAAGTGTTACTGTGGATCCATGAGCATCGATATGACCCTATGCACCCGTTAACTAATTTTGTGGTATTCTTAAGTATTGTACTTTATGTGAATCTTTTTTTCGTTGCACTTCTGAGTGTTAAATTTCGTAAATATTTGTCTTATAAATGTCCCATTAAACTGCTTTGCCAAAGATGTTTTGAGAGTCCTACTTTTTTTCATAAGTATTTAAATTTAAAATAATGGAATTTTATTCTTTTGGGCATTATGTAAAATTCATTAAAACACTTTTAAGTGGCTGTAGTTTTGGTTACGAATCACTTGGGTCCCTCCTCACGTGATCAGCTGTAGCACTCCCTGTTGCAAGTAGGTGTTTCCTCAAACACTCGAAAAATCACGTTCTCCTGTCTACTAGTTGACAATTAAAGGGATATTATAGAAGCTACGTTCTTCACATGCAGCAACTTGTGTATTGAAAATGCAGAAAGCTGAGAATGGAGACTCAATCATTCATTGTACCGAATGTGAGTCAGGTACTCCCTTTACAGTCAATTTTACATTCGCACGCGAAAGGAGCTCTCTCCCCCTCTTCACACTATAGTTGTGGTGAAAGGAAACGATTAAAATGCTAAAAAAATTGCATTAGTTTATCAAACTGAAATTTAAAAATTTTAAAAATCAAAGCATGCATTGTTTATTATTATTATTTGGAAAAGCACTGAAATCTGATTATGCAAGTTAAACTATATTCCAGAAAAACTCGAAAGCGTAACAATGTTTCCTATCGTTATTTTTTAACATTTAGCAAAAAGCATTCTTTTTTTTTCAAAACTTTCCATTTTCTACAAAATATTCGCCGGGCACGTGACTACTATTGTTTTTAAACATTGATTTGAAATTCTAATGTAACATTGTCTTGTAACTTCTTTAAACTTACTTACCATTACTTACAATGTTAATATTTCCGCAGAGAAAGAATATACTACTTGCACATTGCAACAATGTACAGTTTTCTCAGTAAGATAATGTAATGCATCGCAGTTAAATAATGTATAGCTTTCATAATTAAACAACGTTGTTCTTTTATAGCATTGGTTCCCAGAGTGGTTCCAATGGACTCCTGGAGGTCGTTGTGGTGGTTGAAGGGGTCCGTAGCAAATTAAAATTAATTTGAGGGATTGCGAAAGGTTTAATATAAAGTAAAATATTTGCGACCCATTTCGATAATTATAAAAGTTAAAATAAATTAGTCATGATTCTTATGTTTTTAAATATTTAAGATTAAAAACATAAAATGTAAGAGTAAAACATTATTTTGATAGGTACATAAAATACAAATATTTTTAAGTACAACTGATATCTCGTACATACGCTGTTTGACCAAAAAAAAAAGGTTTTACTTTATAAAATAGTCTCATTATATATAACATTTAATAATATCATTTTTTTTATCATGCTCAAGAGATCAAGGGCAAATTTGTTCTTTTTCTACTATGCATTAAAATGGGCTCAATTCATACGGCATCATAGTCACGTGATAATGATAACCCAATGCTTTTAATCAATCAGTTCAAAAACTTAATGTGATGTCATAGTCTCACGATAAAAGCCATCACGTGTTCTCAGCTAATCAGCTTCATTGTTCCCAATTTTTGATATTTTCAGAAACTATTTCGTAAAAAGTACAACTATTTCAACAATAATAACGTACACAGGTAGACAAAATGCACTTAAAAGTACATGCATATAATAAGATTTTTTTTCATAACATTTGCTGAAATGAAATGTTAAGAAATGAAATTTTATGAAATTGTGAAATTTTATCTAGCAAGTGGAGGGCACGACTAAGGAAATTTATTTGGGGTCAAGACTTGCTGTAATAGTAGTACTCCTTTAGGGTGTTCAACCCTCAATGTAATTCTGCCGAATGGTGAGTCAATTCGGAGAAAATAGCCTTCCAAATTCATGCTTAGCTTTTATACAATTAAGTTTTTATTTCTACCAGTGATGGAATAGTACAGTTGGTAGGACGCCTGCTTTCTATGCAGGAGGAAAGGGTTCGAATCCCGCGATGAACTTTTTTTCTGAACTTTTTTCAATTCATTTAATTATTTTTTAAAATCAAATAAACTTATTTATGAAAGGTTAATTAAATATTAAATGATATTTTATAGCATTATTTTGTATTTCATAATGTAAAATAATTACTGTAATTATATGAATATTTATATTAAATTTTTTTAAATATATTTTTATATTAATAAATTATATTTATAATAAAAAATATCTAATAAATATTAAATGATATTTTACGTAAAAATTAGTTACAAATAGTTATATAATGTGAAATACAATATACTATAAATAAAATATATATAACATAAAATAATTTATGAAACATATTACTTTAAATTAATTATTTTATAATTATATAAAATATTTAATAAATCCTTTTTAAATAAATTAATTTAAATAATTTGAATAAATTTATTTAAATAATTTTTTAGTAAATTTTAAAAAAAATATTTAAATAATTTTAATATTAAATTGATAATAAATTTAATAAATAATAATTTTAATAATAAATTAATAATAATTTTAATAATAAATTAATAATAATTTTAATAACTTAATAATAATTTTAATAATAACCTAATAATAATTATAATAATAACTTAATAATTTTAATAGTAACTTAAAATTAAATTAATAATAATTTTTATAAATTATTAATAATTTTACTATTAATAATTAATTAATAATAATTAATTACTTATAAATAATTAATTACAGTTAATAATAATTCTAAATAATTTAAATAATAAATTTGTTTAATTTTTTTTACTTTATAAAATACAAAATAATTACATAAAATATTTAATATTTAATAAACCTTTCATAAATAAGTTTATTTAATTTTTAAAAAATAATTAAATGAACTGAAAAAAAATTTCATCGCGGGATTCGAACCCTATCATCCTCCTGCACTACCAACTGTGCTATTCCATCACTGTTAGAAATTAAAACTTAATTGCATAAAAGCTAAACATGAATTTCGAAGGCTATTTTTTCCGAATTGACTGATTATTCGGCGGAATTACATTGAGGGTTGAACAACCAAAAGGAGTACTACTTTTACACCAAGTCTCGACCCCAAATGATTTTCTTTAGTCGTGCCCTCCCCTTGAAAGTTTTGCAAGAAGTACATGGATATAGAAAAGGTTTGTCTTTATCATGTGACCGTCATGAATTGAGGCCACTGAATTATTTGACTTAGGTGGTTCCTGAATAAATTTTCGGTATAAAAGTTGTCCAAGAGCACAGCAACTACTATTTTATAGCTAAGCAATGTAGAATTTTTGCAATAAGGACGTATTATAAATAAAATAATGTGTGAATTTTGGCTTTTTTTAAAGTAGACATAATTAGTGATACAGAGATGCAAGATATTTCATTATATGTATGAGACAATTTAAAACAATTTTGACAAATGGCATAACCAAGAACTCCTCAACAGGGGCGTTTTGACCAGGGGATGAGGTTTTTCCGATTAATTATAATACTATGTATATAGTAAGGAAAATTTAATTAAGTATATATTTGTTGTTAATAATTAATTTTATTAACTAATGCTGATTATTTATTCAATAATTAATTTTTTGCTGCTTTTTGTTCCCGAAAATTGACAAAATCAAACGAATATGTTGAGCGGCGTATTGGAACATCATACGAGAATACGAACCCTTGAAAAATTCTGGTGTGCTCCACTGAACATAAATTATAAAAACCATACACAACGTGCAATATATTAAAATAATTTCACAGCATAGCATGGGCATGAATATTTTTTGTCATCATGCATATTTTATCATCACGTCATATTTTTCTGTTATCTCAACTCCTCAAATGTGAAACACACCAAAATCTTCAAAGAACAATTCTCGAAGAGACACAGCTTGCCCAACACCTTTCACACCTTCAGCCATTTTGGATTGGCGCAAAAAAAAAACACAGACATTTTTTAATGCTTTTGAAAGTAAAAGCAAAAAAATCTCCGCATACGAATCCTGCAGCATCCATCATTCAAAGTCTGTTCCCAAGAAACGTGACGCTAGGGGTGTAGTGTGAAAAACGAAGGGAAATTTATATCTCGACGAGATCTAATAATTTAACTTGGCGTTTTTTATTAGTGACAACACCGCCAGCAGTCAAAGCAATCACTGACTCTCCCCTGCGCCAAATCTATAGTTTCTCAGAAAATAAAACAAATAAGGAAGGGGGGTGGCAAGGAAGTGGCAGTATTATCGGGTCTTCGATGCTGCGTGCACTCGCGATTTATCGTTACGGAACGATATCGGTACGAGTCTCCTGTGGCCGGCAGGGGGAGAGAGGAGAAAATGCCCCCTAGGAAGCGAACAAGGGGGGCGTTAATGGTGCCCGGGCGCTGTTGTTTCCCTGCCGCCCGATTTTCCTTTTCGTCTGTTTATTTTCCCCAGTAGGCAGTAAACTCCAGGCTAGATCTTGAGGATTTTTTGGCGATGGATTCTTGGGTTTGGCGAAGGTTGATTGAAAGGCATCGAGTTGAGAGATAGCATGCTGGTAAATCACTGGCCTCTTAATGCCATAAGGGAAGATTGCGCTTTTAGTAGTGAAGTAGGCTTTGCATTATTAAACATCTTTCAGTAATGCTAATTTTAAGGCTACTAATAATGAAATGTTTATGATTATTGTAATGCAATTTGTGTATTTAGGTTATTAGTCCATTGTTCATTTATTTAAATATATATTTTCAAATTCGGTCTGTGATAATTTAATGCGATTTAATTTTTCTAAATACTCATACCTTTTTAAAAATTTCTATTTCTGTTTATGCTAATCTGTCGAGGTTTAATGTTCTGCCGTCGGTTTGGTGTGGTAGTTAGAAAAAGGGGATGTCAGCTCAGGTGTCATCCTCGTCACTTGACTGATGCTCAAAATTACGAGGTCAATCGCCAATAATCCTCGCGCTGTTTAATAGTGCGACGTTATTAAAAAAAAAAAAACTCACTCTCTCACCCATTCCATCAATGCTAGAATAACAAAAGTTAAGTGTTGCTGTATTTTTTAAAACCTGATACGTGGCCGCAGTAGTCTAGAGGTTATGGTACGGACTTGGGACGTGCAGGTTATGAGTTCGACCCCTAGAACCACTGAAGATCCGCCTTTAAGAGTGGGATTAATGCACGTTAAATCTGTTGGGACTCAAATTTCTCCCTTTAGCGCGGTGTGGTCGATTATCGAGTGCATAGAATACTTTTATATTGCTTGTCTTTGTCCTTCAACACTTTCTCAGTCTTTATCACAGCAGATCTTTCCCCCAAAAATTACATTTGTAATCTTATAAGCAGGCGCCTTTGTAACAGGCTAGTTGGAACTAGAATGACCAGGAACGTCTTAAAGCATGAGCTAACTGGCCCCAGGGCCTCACCCCCGGTGGGAGCCTCGTTTCGTTCTCGGTTCTGTCTTAGTAAGATCATGATGTGGATAATTTTAATGTGGTTAAATATTAATCCCGTGAACATATTTTCCGAAAAACAGTGAATTTCAAACTGTATTTCAGCTAGCAGAAGTGGTAAGACTGTATTATTATGTGATAACCATTGTCCGTGTCCAGACTTAGGCCTAATACTAGTATAAACAATCATTCAACTCATTTGGTCGAAATGCGGCCATCGGTCGAGCCAGTTTGTGCCTAGGTTTGCGAGTCGCGCACATTTGTTAGTTTCAAATTATCGTTTAAATGAATAGGTGACAATGCATGCTATATACCATCTACTTTTAATGATCTCAGGTAGGGCCTACTTCTGCACAGGGGCCCAGGGCCTCAAAGGGTCTTAAGACGTCCCTGAGAAGGACAAGCAGTTTAGCAAGAGGACATCTTACTACTCTATGAGTGAATGCCTAGTTTAGTAACACCTTGTATCGGGGTCAGAGGTGAGATAATGCAACATTGTTTGTTTGTTGTTGTCGTGTGTTTATTACTGGGATACATACGAAAGACATGAGATAGATGAACAGACACATATAACACAACCACAGAAGAATACAGATTTTATAAAAAACGATGATCCCAGCATATAACAAGAAGAGGTGCGAAGAAGAAGATACAACCAAGTCTTACTCGGGATTCGAACCCACTCCGTTACAAGCCGAGGGTCATAGCCACCATACTGGCTGGGCGACTGTTTATTGATTCATGATACTGTGTTAGTTTCTTTTTCAATAAATATGTATCCCAGCTACCAAAATTCATCCCATTCGAATAATTCCTTTTTTGTTTGTCCCATTTTATGTTACTGAATGTGTTTTCATACATATTTTTGACGTTCAAAGCCTCAAACCTATAATTTTTTGAGTATTGCTATGAAATTATGTATCATTGGAAAGATAATTTAATTAAAAATACATTGCAATAAGTGGTTTATTTCATTATTTGCATTCTATCAAACGATAAAGCCAAATAATAAACAAAAAGAAGCACAGCTTACTTAACGTTGATATGTAAAAGTTTTCATTCATTTGAATGTAACCAATGTGCTTGAGTGTTTAACTAGACAATCATGTATCATCTTGTTTTGACAATGAACCACAATTATACGCTTTATTTCGTTTCTTGGAGTTCAAAAATGAGGACATTTTCCAGTGTGTTAAGGATTGCTTGCAAATTGGCATTTTTTATTGTGTTTTTTTCATTTAGTGATCATGTAAATATAATTATAAAAATGGTGCCAAAAGAATTGACTGATCACTCAGAAAGCAATGTAAAATATCAGCATAACGTGTTCCAAGCTAAAGCTATGGAGAAATTAGAAGAAAAATTTGCAGAAACGTAACCAAAAGCGGCTTTTCGAAATTTTTAAGGAGATTTAAGAGACTGTACCTCTAAAAAATAAAACTTGAAAATGCAAGAATATATGCACAACATAGATTGCGGAAAGCAGAATTAAAAGACAAAGATGTGATTGAAAAAAACTAACCGAGAATGTGCAAAAAGAAATGGAAAAACGAGATGTAAAGGTTAGTGCATATCGGATGAAAT